GATGGTTGAAGATATTGATAATGTTAAAACAAAATTTTATTCAGTATCAAATCTTAATAACAAAGACAAGATGTTTTTTTTGAAGAGCTTTATGAAAGAAAATTAATAGAAATTAGTCTTTATTTGAATACCTTGACCAAATAAGAGAATTGGTCAGCAGAAAAATTTAATCAAATAAGAAAGAAGGCTTATGGATTTTTGCTTCAAGAAGGGTTTTTATGGAAGAGACCAAAGAAAGGAATTGGAATGCCAAGATGAGTAGTAGGTACTAAAGAAGATCAACAAAGACTACTTAAAGAATTTCATGAGAGTCTATGGGTAGGACATAGAGGAATTTGGGCTACTTTTGATAAAATAAAGGAAGGATATTGGTGGAAGAATATGTATCGAGATGTAACTTTGTTTGTAGAATCTTGTGTAACTTGTTAGATGTATTCAAATATATGACATCAAGATGGATTGCATCTGATATATCCTTTGGCTATTCATTTTAAATAGGTTGTGGATTTGATTATTATGCCACTGGGACTATGGCAAATGAGATATTTAGTTTTGGTTCATGAAGATTTGTCAAATCAAGTAAAAGGTAGATTACTAAGAACAAAGTACACAGAGGAAATTTGCAGGTTTTTACTTGTGGAATTTATTTGTCGCTATGGATGTATGGAAAAGATCACTACAGATTGAGGAGAATTGGATGCACATGAAGCTCATGATTTTTTTAAGAGATTTGGGATCAAATTATCATTGACTACTACTTATAATCTAGAGGAGAATGCAAAGAATGAATGTGGGCATCTACCAATTGTAAAAGCCTTAGTTAAAGCTTGCAATGGAAGAGTGAGAGAATAGCCTCGGCTTCTACCTTATGCATTATGGACTGATCGAACAACACATAGTTCGGTGATAAGATATATGCCAGTGGAACTTATGACAGGTAAAAAACCAATTATGCCAATTGAAGAAAATGTACCAACTTGGAGTATGCTACAATGGAAAGATGGGTTGACAAGAGAAGAATTGTTAGTTATTAGAATCTGGCAACTTGAACAAAGATCGAAAGATGCGGAACTAACATTGAAAAGGTTACAAAAAGTAAGGTTAAGAAATAAGATTCGACTTGATAAGCAACATCAATTGACCTAAAGCAATTGAAGAAGGTGATTGGGTACTTATTTATATAGCGGTTGGATAATCAACATAATACTTTGCAGAAGTTTTTGAAACATTGGTTTGGACTATATGTGGTAGTAACAGTTTATGATAATGTCACATATTCATTAAGGGAGTTAAATGGTATGAGGTTGAAAATACTTATTGCTAAGAAGCGAGTAAAGATTTTTACAAGATGAGATAGAGAAATCAATATGGGAGGTCATGCTAAAGATATTGATATTTTTGAAGAAGATAATTGTTTTGAAGAGGATGGTGAAAATAGAAATGAAGGATTTGATGAAAAAAATGAAAAGATGGCATGATGCTAATTATGACATATGGTTCATTTGGCGCATGCCGGAGGATGCGCAGGTTAAGAGGGGGTGGATGTTGTGATGTAAGACGACTATATAATGAAATTATAATCAAAGTTGAATTTCTAATTAATATCTAATTATCTTAATTTAATTATAATTTGAAGTATCTAAATATGGCTTTTATAAAAGCCTCTTAGGTTATTTTCTTATCTTAATAGTAAGTAGATTGAAGGTTAGTTGGTAATTTCTAGTTTTTAGCACAAGAGGGTTTCAGAAGATGGCAGTTTGAAGTTGATTAGGGTTTTTATGATATCTGATGATCTATTAGTCAGATTAAGGTGAAAATTGGCATGGTGTTGGAAGACTTAAAGATCAAGCTATACACCAATTTTGATATAAAGTTAGCGGTTGAAAAGGGAGAAATCATTGTTGGGATTTCTACTTCATTTTTCAAGTTGGCAATTGAGTGATATCAGTACAATTTTTGGAGGTTTTCTCACAATTTGTAAGTTGGATTGGAGTAAAAATTCTTGAGCATATAGTAGACTTACATTGACAATTGCATGCAAAATTCTACATCAAGTGGATAGTCGGATTGGATGTTACAGTTTGTTAAAGCTCACTAATTAGGATTGGGGCTTAGAAAAAAAATCTAAATTGCTTAAATATGAAAGTAACAAGGTAATTGGGATCTATGTATGGTTAAGACTACTAAAAAGAGTGTTTTAAGCACTTGTGAATCAAAATTTAGATTATATTCTTTTCATATGGACAAAAGCTATTAAGGTTTCTTGGCTACTTATAATACATAATCTCACCTTCCACACCTAAGTACTTGGTGTATTCTTGAGCAAAACAACATGTAATACAACACTGCTTGATCTCTATTGTAGTTGGATAAATTCATTTTTTGACATATTTTCATCTTTGACAATAGTACTCCTTATTTTTTTAGTTACATTATTTCTTTGGACAATATTGAATAGTATGCTTACCTTCTCCATAACATAAACATACTCCTTCTTGACAACAATGATTTTTTTCTTATTTAGTAAGAGATTTAAAATGTATTGCATCAATTTGCATGTCTTCTACTTCCAAATATTTAGATTGAGAAGTCAATGGTGTTGTCATTAAATTGTAATAAAGTTGAGGCTCACTTATTCGATTCTCAGATCAAAATTCAAAAAGCTGATTGTTAAATTTCACAGCAAAATCAATTGCTTGACATAATGTCAGAGGATTACGTAAATTGAGCATCAATTTCTTTACTTCATATTGTAATCTGTAGAGAAATTGGCTGATGAGTGTTGCATCATCCTACTTGATATGTGTCGCTAATTATTAAAATTGTAAAGCGTATAATGTCACTGATCAATTGCCTTGTTGCAAGATACAAATCTTATTAGTTGCAACACAGATTACATCATGTTTTTTATATATAGATTGAATTTTTGCTAAAAATTCTTCCAAATTATCTAATATTAGATCATATCGTTCAAGAAATGATGAAAACCATGATAAAGTAGAACTTGAAAGTAGTGTTCCAATAAACATGACTTGTGATCCTTAAGTTGAATAACTTTGAGGTTGTAGTTCAATCACTAGTCGTAATTAATTGATGAATCTTCAAATTTTAGATCTTATGCCATTAAACTTCTAAAGCAATCCAATTTTTAATTCCTTGAAACTAGAATGATGTTCTGTTGTAGGAGCAATAGTATGAATTAGTGTAGATATTGAAGCAACTCCAATCATCTCTATATCTTCATTGCTTGATAATCTTGTTGCTCCTTGTGGTGGTAGACTGAGTTCATATATTGCAAGCATTAACTCTCTCATTTGCTCTTGCATTTGAGCCATTGCACTCTTCATTTCAGCAAGTTTTGTCATATTAATACAATAAAAAGAAAAGTATCTATTTTTGTAAAATACAATACTCAAGAATCAAAGAAAAAAAAATTTAAAAATAATATCAATTTAAAAGAGGGTAATCCACAACTTCTAATACGCTTATACTTTATGAAGAGAAAGGGATAATCTACTCTTAATCAAAATAGGACAAAGCTATAATATTATATGTGCACTCTTATCAATCTGTCAAGAACACTAACTGTAAGAAGATATATAAGCTTAAGGAATCTCAGTCATAAAAAAAAAGTGATAAAATAGAAGAAAGTATATATATTCAATGAAGAATTAGAATGGCTATTTCCAAAGACTAGAAAACATGAGACTCTTGAAACTAGACTAAAGCTAGAAAGGAGTTGAGAAAAGTGAAGAAGACTTCACTCTTGTTTCTATATATACTATCTAACTAGAGGCTATGTGGCAATGTTCTATAAGACTTCCAATATGTCTTGACTTTGTAGAACACAGGTCTTCACTTACAAGGTAAGTTTTTCTACGTGTGGGCCACATAGTTAACTTCGCCTTCAAGCCAACAACATGTATGGCACATGGCCAACTTGTTGATCACATTTCTAATCCAAAAAGTCAATTATAGACACCTATAAAGTTACAGCAGCATCTATGAAGCTTTTAGGAAGCTTTTATAGAAGATATTATAGAATTAACTTACTTATACCTATTTTTATTTCTTCCTATTTATATAGATAATTATGGATTTACATATGTAGGTCTATAACAAATATTCAAAATTGACAACTCTGAAATACATACAATAATATTTCAAAATTCTAAAATATTCTTATATGCCAAAAGTCAAAACTCAAAAATCTAAATCAAAATTGCTAAATTATGCAAATTATAAACGTATAAAGCAAGTCAATCATGCCATTATTGTATTTTTTCATTTTAGGAATTTATAATGAAAAAATACATCAAGTCAAAATTTTAAAATATGGAGATCAAAAAATTGGTCATATCTATGTAATCTTAAACTTTTATCATTTGGTCGGATTATCTCAATTGATAAAACATGGATTTGAGAAGATGGATTTGAGAAGATAACATATAGTAGAAGAAGACTACACTTTGAACAGAATTAGCAATTGAATGACATTGTAAAAAATTATTTCATACAAGAAGATTACACTTTGAACAAAATTAGCAGTTGATTGCCATATTAAAAAGTTAGATTGCAAAAGATGAGTTTACCTTGAATGAAAGGGGTACCTTCCATGGAAAATGAGGTCAGAAGAAGCTGTTGAGGAGTTGTTGAAAGTGGTTCCCTGTTGACGTCCAAAGAAAAGTGAGATTTTCCGATTGTTTCATGTATTGAATGCTATAAATCTGGCGAATATGAGCTTTTATTTACCCTGTACTGTAAGAGGAGGGTACCCTTTAAGGAAACTGAGGGAGAAGGGGTTGTTGAAGGTTGGAGAAGGTTGTCGAAAGTTGTGCCCGCTGAGAGAAATGAGAGATCGATCCATTAGCTCATCTTTGCTTCAGGCTAAAAAGGATAAATCAGCGAGATGAGTAATCTCCTTCTGCAAGGTTCGTATGCTTGATCTTCTGAGGTATAAGTTTTTATGCGTGACCTGACCAACCGACCTCAATCTTCTTTCAACAGATATCCGCCTCCAGCATCCTTCGACTGCTTCGACTTCTTTCTATTCAAGAGGCTCTTCGTCAACCAATCTCGGCATTCCTCCGACCCCTCTTCCCCTTCCCTCCCGTTCCCATCGCAGGGTACCCTCCTCGACAACGGTTAGTACAACTCATCTTTCCGATGTACCCTTCTATCCTATGGGTTACCGATTGATCGATCTCACCCTTCTTTCAACAGGAAACCACATTCAGCAACCTCCAACAACCTCCGTTTATTCCTTCCGTCGAGAGTACCTTATTTTTCAAGGTGTGTTTTTGTTATGCGGTTTAGCGTTTGACACCATTTTCGATCGCTTTCTTCTTCCCTCAAGTGTACCCTCATCTCCCACGGTAAGTAACAGTCATTTTCCGATCTATTCTGGTATAAGAAACGGGCATAATTGATAATCGATCTCGCTTCTTTTTTCATTAGGAACCCAGCATTTTCGACGCTAGTCAAGCTTCCCCTTCGGCCTTCGCAGGGTAACTCACTCGGCCTTCTCCCATCATCAAGCCACCGCATCAACGACCATTTCAGCCATGACTGTGATTTTCTCTTTTCCGCAAGATAGTCCAAGTTGGTAACCTCATCTTTCTGCTCTAACTTGTATCCTCAACTGACTTAACCGACTGACCTCGCTCTTCTCCCAACAGCAAGCACTTCGACTGCCTCTTCAGCCACGAGTGCAGCCTCTTGCTTCCTCGCAACATACTCCTCGTCTTCCAGGTTAGTCTATCGACTCTTTTCGACCCGCCTCTGTACTCGAAAGTCGCCTAACTCTCTGATTTGGGTCCTCTCTTATCAGCAAGCCGCTTCCGCCACCTTCCTCTGCTCAAGGTTCCTCCTCCGCCTCATGGTTCGTAAGCTTATCATTTGATTTATTTTTTTCATTTTACCGTAACCAAAGTGACCTTAATTGACCAAACCCTAAACCTTACAGACTTCTTCTCTCTTCTTTCTTCTTCTCCTTTTCTTAACCGGCTTGATAGCAGTAGTTGTATGATGAGCTTCTAACCGATAGGATAAACCGGCCTCGCAGAGGTCTAACGCCCACCTCCTCCTTCTCCCGAGGGGTTAAACCTGGTCTCCTAATATGAGGCTTAACCGCACTCTTAATCGAAAGTAAAAAAACCTGGATTCGCGGTGGTAAAACCCAGCTCCGCTCCGAAAGGTTAAATAAGGCCTCTTATCACGAGGTTAAACTGTGCTCCTAACCGAGAGTGTAAACCGGTCTCGCAGAGGTAAAACGACCACCCCCTCCTTCTCCCTCCTCCCGAGAGGTTAAACCGAATCTCCTAACTTGAGGCTAAACGGTACTCCTTACCGGGAGTGATAAACCGGCTTCGTTGAGGTTGAACTCCGTCCCTTCTTCGCATTTTTCGTGTTTCAAAACGTTTAGCTAATTCTCTAACTTTCCTCACCTTCCTTTTTCGTTTTCTTTTTTTTGCTTCCCTTGTCCATGTCTTGTCTGGTAAGACTAGATGTGGTTGGGGGTTTTAAGTTGTGTTATGTTTTAGTTTTGCGTTTTACTTTCGATCTCTTCTTTTTCTTTTCCGATTGAACGCCTTCCTGCCCATCTCCCTCCCCACTTCCCTCCACCGCGCGGCTTCTCGAACGATATGCTTGTCTACCATCCAAGTCGTTTTATCGTCTTGCCATTTTTTTTTATTTTTTTTTTATTTTTGTTCCGATTATACCATATTTCCGATTATTCCTTCTCATTTGACTAGATAATATCAGTTTTTAGGTTCATTTTTTCGCTATCTCTCAGCAATGCTACTTTGGCATCCAAGTCCGCTTCTCTTTCTTAAGTTCTACTTTCGGATTCAACCTTTGCGTAATGTATCCTCACGGTTGTATCAGAACCACCTCCAAGTTCCTCCAGCCGCGCGCTTTCTCGATAATACTCGATTCCAAGTTCTCGTCCGTTCTGGTAAGTAAACCAACCTTTCCGATCAATTCCTTACCTTTATGCAAAACAGAATCTGAACCGACCGTTTCTTTCTCTTGCTTCCCATAGTGTTCCGTTGGTTCCACCATTCCTATACAGTGCTTGTTTCGATTCTTATTTTGTGTGCTCTGTTGTTTTCTACGATCTTCCTGATCAGCATCGTAAACAGTTCTTCACCCATTACCTAGCCTCAGCCCGCTGCCAAGCTTGTCAGTCCTTTCCCCCGTCATGACCAACACATCCGCAGACTCTGTCAGTGTCATTTCGCGGCACACGGTGCGCTGTGCCAACGAAACATCATGGTCAGCGCTTCTCGATTCTCCATTTCGCCTCGGCCCATTCGATCACCTGGTGGATCCCTCTATACCCACAGCAGTCGTCTTCGTCTACGAACAACCTACCTCAACTCCCGACGTCGAACTCATTCCAGTCGAGCGCCTCCAACGCGCTTTGACGCTGCTACTGGACTACTACCCGCACCTTACTGGACGCCTGCAAGTCAACCCGAGCGACGGAAGCCGCGAAATCACTTGCCTAGGCACTGGCGCTGAACTTTACATAGCCCGGTGCAGCGAACGGCTGAATGCATTCTCTTCTCCTGGACTCCTTTCCCCCGGCCGCATCCTGATGTCGAACCTGCCCGCCGCTGGCAACGTACTGCTGGCGCCCTTCGACGCGACTCTCGAGGGCGTTGGCCGCGACCCCATCTTCACCGTTCAGCATACGCGCTTCAGATGCGGAGGTGTCGCGCTCGGCGTGCGACTCCTTCACACAGTGTGCGACGCCGATGGCTTCTTCCAGCTGATGCGCGATCTGGCGGAGCTGTATCGCGGTGTCCGGTCCTCTGAGATAGATGGCGATTCGACATCACATTTCCCGTCGCTGGCTCACCCTCCTCACATCCGGTCCTGCATGTCGGAGCTAAGTGGTGGCAATATTACGCTAGAGGAGCGGCTGGCAGCTCTTGACTTCCAACCGTCGCTATTCTATGTAGAGCGGAGCGCGGACGTTGAGGGCGGTGCTGCGGCAGTTGCCTCTTCCACGTCCTCCGTCATTCCTTCTTTTCCGCCCTCTCCTCCTCCTGTCGTAGGACGTTTCTTGCGCTTCTCCCACCGCGAGCTCAATGCTCTCAAAGGACACGCGACGGACCCAAATGGCAGCACATCATCGGACAGCTGGATATCCACCTTTGACGCGCTGTCGGCGCATCTCTACCAGCGCGTCTATCGAGCGCGGTTGCAGCTGCATGCAAAAGACTCGAACCAGGGCGAACTGTCTTCCCCCAACTTCCTCACCCCTGTCAATCTCCGCAATCGCCTTGGCCGCGACTGCCTCCCATCACGCTACTTCCCAAATGCCTTATTCTGTCCGCACATCACCCTCTCGCACGACGTCCTCGCCAACGGTCCGCTCTGGCAAGTCGCCAGAGCCCTGCACGACTTGACGCGCACCATCTCTACGACTTCGAAAGATGAGCTGAACCAAAGTCTTCGGTGGATTGCGATGCAACCGGACAAGAAGAAAATCAGGCAGGGCTTCCAGTACGGGAATGGAAGCTTAATGGTAAGTCAGTGGAACAAGTTTGACATGTACGCGGGTACTGTCTTTGAGGTCGGGCCAGTGCTGGTGTCGCCGCCCTTCACGCCCGTTACGCTGATTGATGGGCTGGCTTATTTTTTGCCAACGGAGGAGCAGGGCACAGCAGCAGCAGCAGCAGGGGACACGGGCGCTATCGATGTGAGCTTGGCGTTGAACCAGCCTCTTTGGGGCATCATTGATCAGGATGAGGAGTTTCGCAAGTTCCGTGATGCATAGTCGTCGTGTTGACATGTGCAACGAATGCCTCATAAAAAAATCTTCTAAATATTTTATTGAATACTCTGAATATTAATCTTATAAATACAATCTTATAAATAAATAAAATATATTTAAACTAATACTTGTAAGATAATATATATATATATATATAAATTGAAAAGTCAAGCATCTTGTTTTTGAAGCTCAAGCTGGACATGCTCGAAGTGTCCTGAGAGAGGGGGCACCACAACTCTGCAACCGACTCCACGAAAAGTCAGTAGTCTTCGGTGTTAATGGACAGCTTAATGAAGCTCGTACCTTAATTATGCAAATTTCTACTAGAAGCAGGCACGAACCTGGCAGTTATTCCAGCTTCACGAAGATATGCTTCGAAGTCGTTCGGAGTGCCTATGAGTTGGATTATGGGCGCCGTCACACTGATAAAATCCCAATTACAGTTGTCATTCAAACCACAAATAAATAATTTCTTGAACTAAGTCTGCATAAGAAAAACAAGACAGTAACGAGTAGTCATTGAAGTTGTTCTGCAATTACCCCGACATTTCCAGGTGGGTTAGCTGGATGGGAATAATCACTTGCGGTTTTAGTATGCGTAAGAGACGCACAGCTTCGTTGACGCTCTCTGTCAATGGGAAGCCAGCAACTTTGTACTGACGCCCTGGAGTTATTACCACATCAACTGCACACAACACCACGAATTAATCAACAAAGAACTCAATTTGTCATCATGTGCTTCATAATCTACAAATCCAGTTACCTTGCATAAGACACATACCATTGATTTGCCTGTTAGCATTCTTGCAGTAGAACAATGTAGCATTCTATAACACAAGATTGAGCAGAGTAATGACCTGGACTCACAGATCGGACAGATTCTTCATCAAAACTACAGTGAGGTTCGTAGTAGATCCTGCAAAGCATCAAGGTTTCACCAATCACGTCCTTGCAATGTTTGGTACACTCACTTGATGTTGAAATTCTTAAAGAAGGCAACCCTAACCCCTTAGTATGAACTCCACAACAAGTCCCCAACCTAAGCCCTGTTTGCATTTCTTGGAGAACAAAGCCGTTCTCACGAAGCGCCCATGGCGGACCCACACGTCCACCAACGGTGGCCCATACTTTTAAACCCGAAATCTGCGAGGAGGTGCCGTGAGCAAGGTCTGTAACGTCTGTAAACCCAAGTCGTTGCACAACAACCGCTGCTTTCGGCGATGCCAATACCGGCACATCCTTTCTACAATCATTTCCCACAGCACTTTCATGAGGCAAGAGGATAAATTCACACTAAGAGAAAATGTTGCAGCTTAAGCTTCACCACGGTGCCCAACTTATGATGACAATCAGTTGTGAGAATGGTTCTCTCCACAATGATGAATCTCCATACCTTAACATCTTGAGTGTAGGTAAGTGGCAGTGGTCTTCCCATTCCTGCCATAGCATTGATAGGAAATCATGCACTAGAGGCTTTCGATCACGCAGGCGGATAATTACTTGAACAAGTTTACAAAAATCACATTCATGAATCGAAAAACATAATATTGATTCGTTAACTATTTTGCAGAACACTATTTGAGTTATTAATATACCTGAGTTATGATGATAGCATCTATGCTATTCACATACTCCAATGTCAAGTCACCAGGTAATCCATCCCTCTGTTGGGACTGAGAGCGGCCTGTAAGATTGAAAACGAGTAGGAATCAACAAATTAAATATGTAGAGGAACGCATTTTAACCAAGGACTGACTTAGAAGATAAATCAGAAGCATTTAGGGACATACAACGCACCAGTGTAGAGCCAGGCCTGGTCCCAAAATGTTTGGTTGCCGAAGAGCCATGGATCTGCAAGCACACGAAGGCCGGATGCTTCAAATTCCAGTAACCACATGTTCCCTTCCGCCATGATTCGGAAAGAAGGCCTCCCTTCCCGAACTTGAATTGGACTTTCCTTCGTCGTCGAATTAATTGTTGACTCATTGCTCCGTTTAACTGATGCTAATGTAGGATGGCGTACCCTCTCTACGCCTCCGACTTTCTTCAGGGAACAATTTGACGGTCTGGAGGTGTCACTGCACGATACCCCACCACACTGGAAAAAGAAATTGAAAATTGAAAATAAAAAATATGAACGCTGTGAATTACCACTAACTATGGGACTTTAACATGGGTAGTTTAAGAGCCACTGCGCCCACTACGCCAAATTTCAGGATGAACCCTTCCACATTTGCTTGATTTCTACTCAACTCTATTCTCAAGTGATCGCAAAATATTACAAAGTATCAGAAAAAGGAAAATGTAATCGAGAATAGATGGCAACATACGGCGAGTAAGTCTACTGGTTTGTTAGTGTAGACTTGCATAACGAATTCCGCAACAAGTGCAAGCATTTCAAGTGACGATTGTCTGAAGTTTGAGAGAAGTTCATGCAGTGCAATGCGTTGCAGATTCTCAGGAACTTGGAGACTCGTCTTACGAATCCGCATCTAGAATTCGCAGAACTTGCAGCACAATTGTGAGCTGCAGCATCTGAAGAAACTCATGACAATTTACGAGTACGAAGATGGAATATACGGTACCTGGACATCGTGAGTCTTGACCCGAGAGGCCGTGTCGTAACGGCACGCAATTCCAAACCTGCAGGGAGCGTGGCAATTGAACAACGGCACCCGGACGTCAACACCATGGCCATGGTCACACAACTTCATAAAAATCCTTCGTCCAGTCCTCCTCCACAACTGGCAACCCAGCTCTCGTAAACCTGGTCTGGAATCTGAAATTGCATGAATGTGCAAATTAGTAACTGCCAGATCCAGAGCCAGCGGAACCCTGGGAATTAAAGAGAAATTGTGGCAGCAGAGCAACCCCATCCACTTGACATTCAAGCACACTCACAATCATTCTGTGGTCGAGAAACAGAATAGCCTTCTTCTCACTCCCTGAATAAGGCCCAGATTGATCTCTCGTTTAATGGGGCATGCTACTCCAAAACAATAACTAAAAACTAAAACTAAAAAACCCAATTCCAGTGCTCATGTTTTGATTTGGCTTACAATTTTGATATTCCTGTATTCCCTTTCACTTATTCAAAGGATAAGTTCCAATCTCCTCAAAAGCACTCATGATCGATAAAAGTTGTGGCACTTATAAAAACAACATTTATTTAAAAATGATGTTTCTGTTTTTATGATAATCATTCAAAAAATATATATATCAAAATTTCATTTAATCAAACGTATGTATATCAAAATTTTACTCATGTAAAAATTAAGGATTTAGATTATAAATTAAGATTTTTTAAAAAAAAAAAAAGTTAATCAATTTTGTCATTGAAATCCAAAAAAAAATTACATTTAACATATAATGTTACAAAATATAAAAATATATGAATAATATATATGTATATATATATTATTCATGTTAATATAGAAATTTCTGAATACAAAGTATAAAAGGGTTTTAAATAAAGGTTAGAGCACAAGAAAGTATTACTACAATTGAAAATGGTCAAAGTCTTGGCTTCGTAAATATTAGATAAAAGAAAGCATAATATGGAAGCTTTTTAAGGATCAAAGAGCTAACAAACCAAGTGTCTAAGTTTAGAGATTCTTCTACTATAGTTTTTTAAACGTACAAAACTTCTAGACAAAGTTTTAATAACTACATGATGCATCCAATAACATTTAAAGTTCCAAATTATGTTTCAAAAGCCACCTTGATGATTTTTAAAGAAGAATTTATTTACTTATTTATTTTCATCTCTATCTACTTTTACTTACTTCTATGTACTTAGGCGGTTTTCTACTAACTTTTAATTAAAATTAAAATTCATAATAGTGTTCTTTGAAAAAGTAGATTTTATTAAAAAAATAATTAGAAAAAAAATCTAATTTTTTATATAATATTCAAATTAAATCTAAAAACACTATTAAGATAAAAAAAACTTTAATTTAATCTATTCTTATAATTAGATCAACTTTTATTTATTTATTTATAAATAATTAAAATTTATACATATATATATATATATATATATATATATAACAAATATTACAAATTAGATAGTATCTATCTTCATAATTTTTATGATTTTATTTTACTCTTTTATAATTGATAATGGTAATGCCAAACTTTTACTAAAATCAATTGTATTATGCAAACAAAACTTATATCTCTTAAAAAAGCCTTGCTAAATCTGTAAACAATCAAAGTCATCATATCTAATGTAAAACAATTGTGTGTGTATGTGTGTGTATATATATATATATATATATATAAACTCTTAGAAAATTTAGCATTGTTTTTAAATGGTCAATTTCAATAGATTATGAGTTTAATTCAAAAAATATCATATTTTTCTATTTACTTATTTACTTATTAATTTATTTTAGATTTTATATAAAAAAATAACATTATTTTTTTAATAGTATTCATAATTATGATGAAGAAATTTAGTTATTAAGAATCAATCCTTTACTTCTTAAAGAAATATTTTTTTAAAATTTTGGTAATAACAATCTTAAAATTTGATAAAATAATTTGACATACTGGAGCTATAAATATATATAAATATATATAAATATATATAAATATATATAAATATATATACTTTGCTACACGAAAAATTAAAAGATACAAGACATAAACTTCTCATATATCAATCTTTTATTAAACTATTTATTTATGGATTTTCTTGTAATATATTAGACACACTATCTTAAATCACTTTTTCCTCAGAGTTGTGTAAAATCTATAATAATTTGTGTTAGTTGGAAACCTCATAGATATATATATATATATATATATATATATATATATATAAACATAGATATAATAGATTAGAATAAATTCTTAGAATATTAGATTGAATCAATATGTTTGATATGTAGATTTAGTAATTAATTTGAACATTAAAACCATCTCCAATGACATTAAAATAGTTCTTTGTAAAACTTTTGGAATAACATCATTGATAAATGTTAAATCTATTATTATGCTAGAATATTTCACTTTTGTAAAAACATTTAAGTCTTTGTATACCTTTCTTTGGGCAGTGTCTTATTTTATTTAAAATTCTTTATTATTTGGTTAATTTCTAAAATTTATTGATATCATATATCAATAATTTATATTATTAAGAAAAATCAAAAATCATTAAAAGTAAATTTAAGCTTATTATATATTTGAACTGTTTTCTTTTTTCTTTTAACTTATTATACTGTAAAAATACTAAATTTTAGAAATCCACATTTTTTTATTTTTTTAATTATAATCATAAATACAAATAGCTAAGATATATTGTAAATCTTAGAAATAAATCTATTGTTAGTTGGATGTGATTGCTTTATGTTATTTTAAATATTTCAGCTTTTTGATTTACTTTGTATCTTGTCAAAATAATAGGAGGGAATCATCTTTAAAACAATTCATGCTTACAAGCATAAGTGAATGTGTTTTAAAATAATAGGATGATTAGTTTTTAAATATTGTAGATAAAAGTAATTTTTATCTCATTCTATTGATATATTCTAGGTAGATAAATATTGTTCTCAAACAAAATAAGAAAATAAGAAAATATTTTAATTTTTTTATTATTTGAGTAAGACACTTTATTATGATTAATTTTTTTAATATTAATCACAAGTAAAAAATGCTTTTGTAAGTCCTAAATTTATTTAAAATATTTAGCAAGATATTAAGTAAGGTTCTTATAGTCTTAAAGTATATACATTTATTCTATGTTGATTTTTGTTAATAAAGCTTATATATATATATATATATATATATATATCTATTTGAAGATCGGTTTTTTTCAATACATGTCCAAAGCGTCCACATGTCCCAATATATTTAAATCTTCTTTTAATCATCTTTTAAAAACATGAGGAAATAAATAAATCATATTGAAAGTAATAAGAGTTTTGAACAAAAAGCGACTACAAATGTTGATTATCCAGATATAAAATTGAAAAGATGATTCTATGTAGATTACTTTTTGTAACATGTATGGTTGATAGTGGAGTTATTTAGAGTTTTATATTGAAATTGTGAAGTTCACCTAATAAGATTTTTTTAGCAATATTATCTACCCTTTTCTACAATCCGAAACTTATAACACCTAATTGTATGGAAAGAGTGTGAGAACTGAATGAATTGAACACATGACATTCAAACCAATTGAACAATAAGAGTTTTATAATATTTATGTTAATAATAATTTACTGATTTAGAGCACTCTAAGAAAAAAACCACAAAACACCTAATAACATTTTACATTTTAAAAAATTAATAATTAAAAATTACATACGTTTAAAATTTGGTCTTTATAAATTGAAATCAGATGCACATAATAGAATCATCATAATAAATTAAATTTTTAGCAATTAAAAATATTGAAGTTTTCAAACTTAAGCAAAATATTTATATTGCTTTATCAACCAATTGTTTCCAAAATGCAAGTAAATATAAATAGAATGATTTTAAGTCAAGTGATAATGTAAAAGTGATTTCAAGTTTTTATTTATTTAGTTATTTTTTCTCCTTTCTACACTCTCTTGGCTTAGGCATGTGTATATAGAAATATGAATTATATTCACAAGCATGAGAACAAATAAAGATTTAATACAGTAAAGCACAATAGAAAAATATTATTATGTCATAAATAATGTCACCAAAATCATACCCAATGGAGCATAAGATACAAAACTCAAGGTAATAAAAATTATCTAATTTGCAAATTTCCCCAAGAGGATTCACTCAACCTAGTTTGACATCCAATTCTCTTGTAGGAAATATCCCAAGGGATGGACACCCTCAAAAACGTACATCTACTTTGATTGTGGGCAGCCTATTATTGTAATGTGTAATATAAAATAATAAAATTATATAATTTGAACACGTGAAGAAATTATTTTATATTACACATTACAATACAAATAATAATTCTGGAGATTTAGAATTAAGAATTTTGGTTAAAATTTAGGAGGCAAGCAGTTGCACAGACAACTGGAATGCTCCTTGCCTTTGCACCGATGAATGTTCGTGAACGTCCATCCGGAGTTAGGGATTTCAGCGAGTGTGTTTGTATGGAGTGCAAGCACCGATGTGAGCTTCAATACTGCCGACGTAGAGTTGCAGAAGGACTGAATCCCCCTTTCAGTCTTGTGAGCTCCAGATTATTAACAGTAAAACGGCTTGGAGAAAAGAACCCATCACGGATCCAAAATTTCTACTATCCGTGGCCGATAAGAAATTGAGTCTCAGATCTGCAGAGCATACGGAATTCGTATTCGAAGTGAACCACGAAGTATTGTAGGAAAAAACGAGCAAGACCTTGAAACATGCGGGATGAAGTGGACTGCATTCTGATTCGGGATTCTCTCTGACTTGTCCTCATTTCCGTTTCTGACGCACTGCTGCACGTTTCCATCTCAAAGGTGCTGACTTTGGTGCCCCCACCCAACTTTTCCATCTCAAAGGTGTTAACTTTGGTGCCTTCCCCTCAACCCACCTGTTCCCTCTCTCACCCTTCCACTGTTTGTTCGTTTCCTTTACTGCTGGTGATGGTGCTGCTCCTCCTTCCTCCTCCTTCTTCCTCCTGTAATTCCTTCCCTATTTATTATTCTTATTTTTCTTCTTCTCCCCTGGTCCTCTGCCCTGACCTGCCCTGTCCTGCCCTGCTACTGGTCCGTCCGTCTGTCTGTCTGTCGCAACTGCTGTGCTGTATTTTGTTCTCAGACTAAGGTGGACAGTTCTAATGCCGACCCTTCTCTTGGTAATACTGCTGGCTGTTATAACATCATCAGAAGCTTCGACAGATGGATCACAACGGCGTTGCACCGCAACTAATTGCAAAGACATTAGGTCCATCTCGGCCTCTAGACCTGAGCTGGTAAGGCTTTAATCCTTATTCCATAAGCTTCACAAATCTTAAAATTGTTGTACGTGCTTGAAGGTTCCCTCTATGTCGTGCCCTGGTTTGGTTTGACCTACATCGAGAGTCCTCCCTATTGACATGGATATAGAATGTGAAAGTATTATTAGGATTGTCTCATCTTCTTGAAACTGCTGAAGGGGCGATACGAACAAATTTAATCGTATGTGCAGTCCACGTTCAATGCAGCATTGGAGAGGACAGCGCTGAACAAGACATTTGGTGAGAAAGGCAAATCATTCACAGTCTTCGCACCAAGTAACAAAGCTCTGAAAATAGCTTTCAAAAACTCTCGCTTGATTTGCGTGCACGCCTTTTACAAGGCGCGGCCTTGCACCTCCACTGCGGATCTCCTTTCCTCCACCAACCTGAAGACGATTCTTTTGAATTTTAGTAAGTCATTTGGCATCATCCACAATTAAGGGCCTGTTAGATGAAAATAACTCTTTTCCGAGAAGTGAAATGCTTAGTTGATCATGGAACAACTATTGTTGCGTTAGGGTTGTGGTAAAGATCTCAAACAATTATTGCAAGAGGCTCCTCTTTGACAGCCGTGTGACCGTGCGGCCTCATGATGCAGTCGTGGAGGGTTCATTTCGGGTGAAGGATCTAGAAGATGGACAGCTTCTTCTGTTTGCTAGCAGCTCAGTTGAACAAGTAACACTCCTTGTCTTGTACCACGTCTCATGAGTACCGTGGAAGAATACTGAAAAATATCAGGACCTGTATGTGCCTGATTTCGTCAAGTCCGCTCATTCGTTAGCACAGAGACTCTTTCACACTCTAAATTGCATGTTAATGTGGGAAATCACAGATTCACAAGACGAAAACGAGAACATACATTGGCAACGCCAGAGTGTTGACTGCGGACTTGTTAGCTAGTGATGGACTTCTCCATGTGGTCGACAATGTGCTGGGCAGCATAGATCCCCGGACGATGCAAGCATCTGATGTTTCAGTCAATGCCACAGCAATTCGTGTGGCCACAAAGATCATCGATGCTGACATTTTTGATGAAGAGCAGGTGAGAGTCACCACCTCTGAAAAAGCACTGTCAGTTTCAACTTTCCTCAGATATTTTCTGCACGAATTTTAGACCGTCTTGATTTTACACCAAGGATTTTCAGGCTTCTATTCATATTGTTTATCTCCTTGACTTGCAGCAAAAGGAAGTAGCAAATGGCGTCCTCACAAAAAACATTGTGGGGGTTCGAGCTAACAGGGAATTAGTGGCTCATCCTGATGGGGGGTTGAGGAATCCCGTACCACTTCTCTTCGATCCAGGTTTCAATAAAAAAGAGTTTAGTGAACCAGATATCAAGTTTTCATACCCGATTTTGGACAACGTGCAGCGTCCTAAGAATGATGAGGATCTTGCTTTCATGAGTGTAAGAGACTCCTAACAAGATGCGAATAATTCTAATGAATGCAATTGTGATCAGTGAGCAGAAGACTCCTTCATCATTGTTGTGTAGAATATACCTCAGGAACCATGTGACGAGCTCGCTAATGTTGATTTATTTTTATTTTTATGTTTATGTCAGATTCTTCAATTGGGTTCATTGCTACGGTCCAAGCAAATAACCTCGGTGGACCTTGTTAAGCTGTACACAGCACGGCTGAAGAAGTAACGACGATGACCTGTGAAGTTTACTAGTCAAGTCGTTACCCGTGAAACATGAGGTTTAGGTTAAATTTTCTGTTGCTTGCTTTTGTTCCAGATTTCATTACAGTGATGGTATCCTAAAAATATCTTGTTTCATCTGTAGGGTTGATTATGTCCTGAATGCAGTGGTGACGTATACTGAGAAGCTGGCCCTTGAGCAGGCCACTGCTGCTGATAAATTACTTGCCGAAGGAGTTTATTTAGGTGACCACAAAATACACGCAAAGGAGGCTGTGTATTTTAGAGTGATTCTCTACACGGGTATAATTCTGCTCTTAGAATTTTTGTGGGAATGTTACTTATGTTGTTGATTTAAAACTGGTTCTACAGGGCCATTGCACGGAATACCATACGGACTGAAGGACATTATCGCCGTCCCAGGGTACAAAACCACATGGGGCTCAAGCGTTTTCAAAAATCAAGTCATCAACGAGGAATCCTTAGTTTATCAGAAGTGAGTGTAGTTTTTGTAGCTTTGTAATAATGATTGTTTGATGTTGCTTGAGCACAGAAACTGCCGCTCATTAAATTTGCAAATTATTCACTTCTGGGTTGGTTTTCTGTGGACGTATAATTATGTATCAGTTTGTGGCTGCTCTCAAGACTTGTGATGCTTCGTTATTTCCAACTTGATATCAAGTAGAGCTGCAGTCCAAGTTCAAATTACAACTGTCCAAATGATTGCAGGCTCAAAGCGGCTGGTGCAGTTCTGATAGCCAAGCTCGCAACAGGGGCGCTGGCTTGGGATGACATTTGGTTTGGAGGTCGAACAAAGAATCCGTGGAATATCCACGAAGGCAGCACTGGATCGTCTGCTGGACCAGCTGCTTGTACATCTGCAGGTACTTTCCATCTTAACAAGTGCTACATTACTGAAGACGAGATTCAGATGAGGCTTGACTGAAGATTCAAAATTCACATATAATGTGGGGAATTAGTAGAAGCTAAGATTCGGGCTATGTTTAATGGTTTTGACAGGAAATGTACCCTTCGCAATCGGCTCGGAGACAGCAGGGTCTATCGTGTACCCATCCTCTCGCACGGGGATAACTGGATTGCGTCCCAGCTTTGGAATGGTGGGACGATCCTGGGTTATGAGCTTATCTGAAAGCATGGTACATGTTCTCAACATTGTGCATTATGTGGATATGATGGAATTCTTGTATCGTATTTTCCTGCTGCTTGATGACCAATTTTCAGAAACCAAAAGTCGGGCATTGAGGCTTTAATATATTGGAGCATATCTATGAAACTGTCTTTGTCTGCAGGACAAACTTGGTCCTCTCTGTCGATCTGCAGCCGATTGCGCTATAGTACTCGACGTGATTAGGGGCAAGGATCCAAGGGACTGGTCCTCAGAGGATATCCATTTGAAAGACCCATTCTTTATTGATGTCTCCAAGTTAACCGTGGGTTATCTGCCGGATGCAGACATGGGGGTAAGCTTCTCGTTAAGAATTGTTTTCTCGCATTCTTTTTGGTATTGTAAGCAAATCAAGACGTTTGGATCATGTGGGCTGGGCATGTCGAGCGAGGTGAGATGTCACGATTCGTAGAACTAGCTCGGGTTGGTGCTACATGAAGCTGACCTTAGTTGGTGTTGGTGCCACCTGAAGGTGGTGAAAGCTCTTGCATCCAAACAGGTGACGATGGTCCCATTTGCGTTGAACTACACTGTACCTTCAGCGCAGTTCATTCTCAACGTAACAATGGACGTGGACGTACTGGCACATTTTGATCACTGGCAGCGAGCGGGTCTAGATGATAATTACGAGGATCAGACTGCGTGGCCAGTTGAGCTTCGGCGGACTCGCCTGATTTCAGCTGTGGACTACATACAGGTTAAAACCGGCTCTTGAAACATTTAATCTGGTTGATTTGGGTGCTTATATTGAACGGTCAGAACTACAAACCAAGCGGCTGTAATAAGTGTTACGTCCGCTGTTAATTTCTAAAAAGCTGATTCTGTATTCTTCATATTTTTTTTACTAAATGTTTCAGTCCGTTCGACCACGCAGGCGCAAAGAGCTCGTGGAAAGCTGGCACATGAAGTTATTCAAACTATTCAGAGGCAGAAAATAGATGCATTTATTGGAAATGCAACAGACTGGGAGAAGGTATGCGTGGGCAATCTTGTGGGTATGCCAGTGATAGTGATCCCCACTGGCTTCAAGAAAATAAATGGTACTCGGCGGCGGATCACTGTCCAAACTGGCATCTACGCAGCTCCCTATCAAGATGGAACGGTATGCTGTCTGTAGCTAAGAACGTTTTCAGTTTCCATGAGAAGAACGTAATCAATCTTCGACGTTCTCTTATATTTTCACAGTACTTAGAAGTCTGTTCATTCTTTGCAGTGAATAGTTCTTCAAATTTGGTAACTCAACATGAACCTGAACACCTCGATTCTATGTACAACCAGGTCCTGGCTTTAGCGATGGCGTACCAGTCAGTGACAAACCACCATCTTCAACGTCCGCCTGTTGACAACCTTGGCCCTGGAGACGACTTATTTCTTTAATCTGTAATTTACTACCCTTACGGCTCGGCTTTTGTGATGAGTTTTCGTGTGGTGAAAAGTAGATAAAACTAAATGCAACCAAAGGTTGAGACAATGTTTACTATCAGTGAATTATTGTAATGGTTTCAGGTTTTATCTCAAAGACTGTTTTTAACGCCAGTGCTATGGATCTAAATGCTCTAGCCGTGTTTTATGTGCTTCTCTAGAATCTAGAACACGTTTGATAAAAATAATGCCACGTACTCTGAACATGTTTCAAAAGAGAAATGTGATCCCGTGAGTCCACAATAACGCTGCTGATGTGGAGGGAACGTGGCATAATTATATGTAAGTGATGCTGTAATTATGTACATATTACCCACGTGTTGCTATTGGCAGGTAGGTATGTACTATTTTCTTAAAATCGCCACTTCAATAATTTCAAAGAACCCATGAAACCTACAAAAAAAATTTGATAAATAAAATAGAATGATCCTTGTTTGGTTTCTCAAAAAAACTTGTTTCAAATCAAATCTCTCAATGTTTGTGTATATACATATATAACTTGCATTTTGGATGTACATTGATGGAATGAATATTTGGTTCAATTAAGTTTCTAAGAATTGACAGTATTTTTTATACAGTAGCATTCTTTTGGACTTCTTCACAATACACACACACACACACACATTATATATATATATATATATATATACATATACACACACAGATAAATTTTTTATTCAAAGAATATTACAAAAAAAATATGTCAAATTAGTAAATTATGATTTTAAAAAAATCTAATTAGTAATCAGTAGAAGTTTAATTACAGTTAACAATTATCTGTAAGGATATAAATATGAGGTTGAAGTACAACAAACTAATAATGAGAAGAAAAACAAATTAGTTTGATAATATTTTTTGTTAAACAACGTGAATTTAAAAAAAAATATGGTTGGACTTACAAGTATCTTTAAATGTAGTGTGTGACTACAAGATTTTTTTTGTAGAATTTTTTAATCCTTCAAAAGCTATTTAAAAAACTTTCTAAAATTTTGATATTTATCTTGAATGACTTACAATCACTAAGAAATTTCTAAATGGGTTTTTATTAACATAGAACCAAGATTAAAGCTATTTTTAATATTTTCAATTATTTTCATATCTTCATTTGTGATTTAACACTATTTAGGTTCTTTGTCATATGCATGTCAATTTTCTTTTGCTAAATTTAATTGAATTCATATCATTTGATATGTAACAAGACTAAGCAATATAATATCATGATTTTAAAATTTTTTTTACTTTTTTTCCTTTCTTATTTATATAAATTTTTAAATAATTTTATACATTTAAATGATTTAAAAAATATGAATTTATTAAATCATTTAAAAAAATATTTATATGACTCCAGCTTTATAATATTGAAGCTTGATATTTTATTACAGAGAATAAACTTCTTTCATCTTCGTTTTTTTTATAAATATAAAACTTTTAATAAGATTAGATACCATAAATTCTTCTCTATTACATTAATGTTGACTTAATATTGCAATTTTTGAGTATCTTCTTAAAAATTTATATTACTTATGGAAATTATTTTGGTGTATCAAAGACCTTAAAATTATGGCATAGTTCACCAAAATGAAAGTGGTTTAGTTGAAATTTAGAAAAAAATAAGATAATATGTAGTTATAATATATCAATTTTGTTTATTATTATAATTAATATTTAAATTAATTGTTATTTATCTTTAAAAGGTTGTAGTTTTTTTAATTGATGTAATAAATTTTATGTTTTATACTATATATATATATATATATATATATATATATATATATATATATATATATATATCTTTAAACTTGTTATTGAATTATGAATAATTTAATCAATAAATTATTCATAATTCAATAACAAGTTTCACTTAATATTTTCCAAAAAAAATGCTAATCATAGAGTAAAGAGATTAATAAATTAAAAAAGAAAAGATTTTAATTTTTTTTAAAAATTATGATATGAATTTTATAAATAGATTAATACATAGCATTATCAAATAAAAGTTATTTTTTTTTTAAATCTTTTCTTTATTTTGATGTATAAGTTTATTATTAGGCCAAATATTAAATATGTTTGTGTTTTGTCTTATTATAATTAAGAGCTAATTTTTAAAATTAAAAAATAAAAAATCAATAAGTAATATATAATATTTTTAATACAAAAAAATAAATTTATAAATAAAAAAGTCACAAATTAACTTAAATAATTATATTGTTGTAGTTCAACTTATTTATTTATTTATTATTTATTATTTATTTATTTTAATAGAATTAGATTTTTTCTTCTTTTTTTTCTTGTATAACTCAAAACCTCAAATCCTAAATCTCATATCATTAATAAATTTTATTTTATTGTATATTACTTTTATAAGTTTATATTATGAAAAAAAAACTTGTCAAAAATAACTTGTCAACTCCTTTCTTGCGTCCAGTCTAGTTTCAAGGGTCTCTAGTTTTCTTGGCTTTTGGCAATAGCCATTCCAGTTTCTTTCTTAATATATATATCAAGTTATTTCTATTTTGTCATCTTTCTATGAAAGAAGTCGCACTTGTTTATTTGTCTTTATTATGTTTTTGTCCTTAATAGATTGACAAGAGTACACCTATAATATCAGAGCTTTGTCTAATCTTGATTAAGAGTGGATTACCCCTTTTTCTTGATAAGACACAAGCATATTAGCAGTTGTGGATTACCCTCTTCTAAACTGATATTGTCCTTAGTATTTTTTTTGTTCTCAAGTCCTTTCTTTTATTTGGCTTGAGCAATATTAGACATCTTCTCTTTTGTAAGTGTTTTGATGGCAAAACTTACTGAAATGAAGAGTGCAATGGCACAAATATAAGAACAATTGAGGGAGTTAATGCTTGCGATGCATCAACTCAATTTACCACCACAAGGAGCAACAAGATTGGCAAGAAGTGAAGATATAGAAATGATTGGAGCTGCTTCAACATTTGCACCAAATCATGTCTCTTCTCCTATGGTGGAACGTCATTTCAATGTTAGAGAACTAAGAATTTCCCTACCCGAGAAGTTTGATGGCACTAGATCAAAGTTTAGAAGATTTATCAATCAAGTACAACTTGTGATTGAACTTCAACCCCAAAGCTATCCAATTCTAGGATCACAAGTTAGATTCATTGGTACGCTTCTTTCAGGTTCAGCATTAACATAATTTTCATCTTTTCTTGAATGATGAGATCCAATATTGGATAATCTAGAGGCTTTTTTGGCAAAGTTTTGATCCATGTATGGAGAACATGATGGAATTCGGGTTGCAACCAATAAGATCCGTATTTTGCAACAAGGCAATCGATCAATAACGTTGTATGCTTCACAATTTTGACAACTTGCAATAGATATCAAGTGGAATGATGTTGCACTTATTAGCCAATTTCTCTACAGATTACAATATGAGGTAAAAAAATTAATGCTCAACTTACGTGATCTTCAAACATTGAGTCAAGCAATGAACTTCTCGTAGTCTTGACTTTTATGAAAGTATAACTAAGAGTGTAGTTAATCAAGTATAAAGTCATAAGTCTAGTATAATTAAACCTATATTTGTAGGTGCAAGTCCTTTCTTGCATGCTGCAAAAGAAGGATCACCTTGTGTCATTTATGCCACACCTATTTCTATTGGTGAAAAGACTTGAAGTGGCATTCCAAGCCAATATCAAGATTTTTAAGATGTATTTGAGAAAAAGAATGTGGATACTCTTCCAAAACATCGTTCCTATGATTGCTCAATTGACCTTCAAGAAGGAGCACAATCGCTATTTGGACCAATCTACAATTTATCTCAAAATGAGTTAGCTAAATTCAAGGAGTATATTAAAGAAAATTTGGCCAAGAACTTCATACACCATTCCAAATCTCCAACAAGAGCTCCAATTTTATTTATGAAGAAAAAAGATGGATCGTTGCGGATGTTAGGGACATAGTCTTTAGAACCTTCTAGAGACAAGTTTCTAGAACCTTCTAGAGACAAGCTTCTAGAACCTTCTAGAAGCAAGTCTTTAGAACCTTCTAGAAGCTTCTTAGTTGATAGAAGATGTTAGGGACATAGTCCTTAGAACCTTCTAGAAGCAAGTCTCTAGAACCTTCTAGAAGCTTCCTAATTGGTAGAAGTTGCTTGAGAAGCTTCCTAAATATGAGTATATATTAGGATCGAGGCTGAAGAGTTCTTCAGTCTCGACAACACATCTCTTGGAGCTCTAGCTCACCTCTCTGGTGTTGTTCTTGTATTCATCTGATTAATCTAGTTCTTGCCAGTTCTTCTTAAACTTCTTGGTAGATATCAAGTCTGTATTCTGTGTCCGTGACAGTTTGTCGAGACTGAACTCACCTCAGATATCAGAGCTAGTTTCTTCTTTGTTAGAGTGTGGATTATCCCTCTGCTTGGAAGTGTACTAGCACTTTAGAGGTTGCGGATTACCCTCTTCTAAACTGATACTTCTTTTGTTACAATATTGGAGTCTTATTCTTCTTGGAGAGAGTGGATTACCCCTTTTCTTGAAGCTCTTAAGGCATTTTAGAGGTTGCGGAGTACCCTCTTCTAAACCAATATTGTCTTCTTGTAGAATCATTTCTGTCCTTCTCTTAGAATGGTCAGGGGCCAAGACATTAGTATGACGGAAAGTTCAAAGTCGAAGTTAGATGCTATCATGAATGCCCTCGCTACGTTATCGCAAAGAACTGCAGAGATTGAAGGAGTCGTGGCAAGGCTTCATAATGATGGAGCATCTAAGATGGCACAATCTAGGTTGGACCAGCCTCAAACTTCTATACTTGGAGAAGCAACTTTGCCTCAGGTTCGACAAGCACCGCTGGTTCTACAACATAAGGAACCCCGAGTTAGCCTTCCGGACAAGTTCGATGGTACATGTTCTAAGTTTCGAGGATTCGTCAACCAAATCAGGTTGATAACAGTTTTACAGCCCGAACGCTATCCAACGGAGGAGTCACGTGTTGGGCTTGTTGGAACCTTACTTACAGGACAAGTTCTATCATGGTTTGCTCCTTTGTTTGAGAAACAATCGTCCATACTAAACAGCTTTGAAACCTTTTTGGAGGCATTTGCGGAAGCATTTGGTGAACATGACAAGGTTCGATGGGCT